TCTGCCTCCAGCACTTGCTAGCTGTGGACAAATCTCTTAATTTCTCTGAGCTTTGATTTCTTCTGTATGTGTAAAAGTGACTATAATAAGGACTGTGGTGCCTGTATCATGGAGTTGTTGTGAGAATAAAATGAATTAATGCATAGAGAACACTCTACAAAACTTAAAATACCGTTGAAATGTCAAAAAAAAAAGAAAAGAAAATTTTATTTATAGTCTCCTAGCATACTTGTTGACTACAGATTAGTTGTTAACTACAGATTAGTCAAATGGTCCCTCTGTGCAGCAGCTGCTGATTCCATATTCTAGGCCTTGCAGTGAGTAAAATGTCATCCAGAAACAGAAGCATCTTTAGGGAATCCCTTTCTCATCTGGACGATGCACAGGGCATCTTCAATGACAATCACTATTGCTAGCATTTGTTCTCTGTTTTGTGTCTTGCTTAATTCAGTTCAATTCAGCAAACTTTTATTGAACAATCACAATGTGTAAAGCATTAGGATAGGTATGGATACCTCTCTGGCTCTGTGGTCAGAGGAACTGGGTTCAAATCCTGCCCAGATACCTGTAGCATCTTAGACAACTCACTTAACCTACCTAGGCCTTAATTTCCTCAACTACAAAATGAAGAGACTAGCCCAAATAGCCTATGAGGTCTTATGAAATAGCCCCTGTTCTCCAGGAGTTTATATTCTGCATTGTTAGTCAGAGGATTATAGAACTAAAGTATTTCTGTGATTGAATGGATCAAGAATCTTGTATTATCTTAACAAAAGTCTTCTTGTTGGAATTTTTAAGACTGCATTTTGTTATACTAAAGCAAATGTTTTTTGGTAATCAACAAGTAATTAATACAATAACATTTGTATCCACTATGTTGTCCAGTCATTTTTCAGTCACATCCAACTCTTCATGAACCCACTTGGGGTTTTCTTGGCAAAGCTACTGGAGTGGTTTGCCATTTCCTTCTCCAGCTTATTTTACAAATGAGGAAACTGAGGCAAACAAGGTTAAGTTACTTGCCCAGGGTCACACAGCCAGTAAGTGTCTGAGGTCGCATTTGAACTCAGGAGGAAGAAACTTCTTGACTCCAGGCCCAGCACTCTATCCACTGCCCCACCTCGCTGTCCCTGAATATTTCTCCATCAATTTGGGAGTGTGAAAATGTGATCCACTCTAAAGGTTCATCTGCGAAAGCCAACATTCCTCCTCCCTTTTCTTGTTTTCATCAATATATGTAAAGGCCAGTACCGTAAAGGAGAATTGTGTGTGGGCATTTGGCTTCATCTTCTTGGCTACCTTTTAAGAAAGTAATATCACTGGAAATCTTTTCCATACTTTAAGCATTTTCCCATCTTTGTTATGTCTTGAAAATTGATATTCTAAGTACCTGTAAAATAGTTTCGCCTCAAGCCTGGGTTCCTTCTTTGCATATTTGGTCAGGCCCTGCCCACTTTCTTTTTTCTTGAGCACTATTTCTGCTTCTTCATATAACATGAGAATGTTCAGATTCAAAGTGTGGTTGTTTCACTGTCATAAATAATCAGAAGTTACAGTTGGAGTGCCGGTAACTTCCATTTCAAATCTACTTCTTGGGTTCCTTCCAGTCTCAACTGTCCGCATTATTTCCTTCTTTTTTTTGAAAATCAGAACAAAATGTGCTCTTTTCTAGTCCTGTGTACTTTCCCTGATCTCTATACTCTCTCAAAGATTGGATCAACAATCACATCTACAGGTTATATCAATACCCTTAGATGTAACTCTTCTAGGCCTCACTGAAGGCAACTATTTGCTCTCTCACCATCTTCACATTTATCTTGCTTTTTTGGTTTCAATTTTTTTTCTTGATCTGGCTTATTTAGGTTTCACACACCAGTCTTCCTACAGGCTCTTTTCTCTTCCCTCTCTTCTCTTTTCCCCCCCACTGTTTTATTAGGAAGTCCCACTCACAATCTTTTGTCATTTCCTTCTATATTGTTTTACAAATGAATTTATATTCTAAACTATTCATCCTTGGCTATTTTGTCTTACCCTTGGCAAGGAGTTTAAATGCTTGCTCACTGATGCAGTTTCTTTTGCCCTCCTTGTGGTGACATTTCATGATGAGACATGATAGAAATTGTCTCAGAAATGGTAATAATGAGATTCAGTGCTTTTGGGCTTATCCATTTCTTGTTTCTAAAGATTGACAGCTTATTTAAATAGATAACATAGAATTGTTATAATTGCATGCTGTGTCTTACCTTGATGAGATATTCTTCTCCACTTCTAGTTTGGTGTCCATTTTGGCCTTTGCTCTAACCTGTCAGTGTTTTGGCTTTATCATCTGTAACCAGTTGTTGTGTGTCTATGAAGATATTGTCCATTTTATTTTGGGGCATATTGTTCACTGCTTTCTATGTCCACTACCTTCTGACACCTCTTGAAGAAAGTGTTCATGACATATAGGTGTGAGGGTCCTGAGTAATTTACAGACCGTGGTCACTTTCATTTCTTAATCCTAAATTATATTTTCCAATTTATATGTGTGGGTTTGTTTGTATTTTTTGACATTTTTCCTTATGCCCATCTCTTTTGTTGTAGTCACCACATACTTAGAAGTATGCTGACTTGGCTTAGAGAATCTTGTCAAGTTTTTCATAGGATTTTCATTCTCCTTTACCCTCTACGAGACATTTTAGTGCATAAGCTACAACACTCTTGTTTGTGGTCCTCTTACACAGAAGCTAATTAGGAGCACTGAAAGAAGAGCTGATGAAATGTCACATGACATAATGCTTCCTGTTGCCATTAGGTACATGAAAAAACCAACTTTGACTTCTTTATTTGTCACTCTGATGAGCTCTTGGGCTTCCATTTTGCTCCAACTTCTTTATGTCTTCTGGTTTCAATTATAGTGAGAATGTCAATGTGGATATGATTCATTTGCTTTAGTAATGTTTTGACTCATTGATTGTTAAATGCCGATTTTACATTTAGAACAGCAAGATCAAATTAGTGTTTGTAGATTATCTAAAACTCTCTGTCCTCTTTTATTCAATTGTCATTATAGAAGTGGAAATGGGCCACATAATGTTATGTGGATTATTTGTTATTTCTTTCTACTGGCTCTTCACAGCCAAATAATTTACTTCATAACCAACCTAATAGTGTCATATTCTTTGGACTTAATGAGGCCACTTCTTGGACAGCTAGCACAATCTGTCATTCTGATCATACTAGAAGCCATTCCAGTGTGGGATAACTCTCCAGCCCTAGCTGTCTATTGATATAGCCTTCAAGAACTCTACTCTTCCACAGTGACTCAGAGTAAGATTTGGTCCTCAAACATATAATGGATCTAAATCAATATGTATTTAGACAACTGGGAATTTATTTCATTGTTACTAAAAGTGCAGTAGAATGAATGTATCATAAGTAGGATGAGGGTTTGCATCAACTTTTGGTCCTATATTCCAATCACATTAATATTTTTTCAGTACTTTTGAGAGGTTTATAATCTTTTTTCCCTCTATGACCAAAGCCAGATTAGTAATTTAGTACTCTGAAGGAGTACTAAATAAAATGGGAAAAACAATCATAAGAGTTTCTCATTAAAACTATATAGATATAGGTAAGATGATTAACTCAAAGCTAAGGAAGGAAAATATTGCCCTTGTAACATCAGATAGATAATGCCAACGAAAGCTAAAGAAATATATGATAGATCTTTGAGTGGGGAAAGCCATGAAATATCTGAAAAGCATGTATGTTATAGTAGTTAATGAACATTATACCTGAGTTGAGATAATATGAATAGAATGTGAGGTAGTTAGTGCAGCATAGTAGAAAGAGCATTGGACTTGGAGTCAGGAAGACCTGAATTCAGACTTTGCCTCAGACATTTACTAGCTGTGTGACAAGATCCTTGACCTCTTTCAGCCTCAGTTTCCTCATCTGTAAAAATGGGCATAATAATAGCACCAGGTTATTCAGTCACTCAAGCATTTAAGTGCCTACTGTGTGCCAGGCACTGTACTACTGTCCTACAAAAGACAACCCCTGCTCACAAGGAGCTCATAGTCTAATGGTATGGAGCAAAGATGGCAGACACATGGCTTGCATGCAGCCCCCCAACACTCCCAAATACAGTCCAAACAAGATTAAAATGTTGTTCCTACTTGATTTCAGTGTGTTAATGTGTTAATAAAAAAGAAATATATAAAATGTGTAGTTTTCTGGGTCAATATGCAGCCTACAAGGATCCTTATCTATGGTTTAGTGGCCCTGTTTCTATTTGAGTTTGATACCACTGGTGTAGACAACATGAAAACAGCTAGATACCATTAAGATATTTATTTACAGGATGATTTGGAGATAATCAACAGAGAGAAGGCTGTTATTGTGAGGATCAAATAAGAAAATACATGTAAAGTACATGGCATACCTTAAACCCCTATTTAAATGTGAACCAAATAATAATTACTATAAGATCTATGATGTTGACCACAGGGCCTGGAGAGTGTATGAAATAGACAATCAGAACAGGGTGTTACAAGCAGAAGAAAGATGTGTAAGGATGCCTACTTTATTGTATGAGGTGCATATTATGTGTAGCTTAAATTTATATCTTCAAAAAAAAGGAGCGTATCCTTTTAAAAGATCCCTTTTATAAGTAATAACCTTCTCCTGAACACTGCTGAGAAGTTAGTGACACAAATACTATTGACATGAAAAATTTATTTCCATTAGTTGAATGGTTCTACTACCTAAAGCAGCTCCAGCATTAGAGATGACAGCAACAGAAAACCCTGTCATTTCAGGTCTTAGATTATAAGTTTCTCTTGCTTTCATGGAATTGGCATGATGCAATTCAAAAGTGGTGTCTGGAAAATGAGAGATGGGGAGATGGGAAGAAGAGAGGGGTCATCTTTTCACACTATGCTTTTTCCTTATTACTCTGCTTTATTTTGCCTTGTATTCACAAAAGATGTTTTGGAACTGTCTCTTTACTTGATTAGGGAGAAGATTCAGTTTATCCGGACAGAGGGGACACCTGGATTGGTCCGTCTTTCCAGCGATGCTGATCTTGTAATGTTGCTAAGGTAGGTAACCTATTTGACCCTTAGCTGTTGATATAGATGCTTTTGGGGTTGTTTGTTGCAAAGCAGTTCAAGTATGTAATATGATATGAATTGGTGACAGATGGCTTCATGAGGAATAGCTGTGAGAGTGATTTGGTTAATTTAGTCCTACTTTGTCAGCATAGCATAGAGGAAAGAGATTTACAGAATTACACCTAGAGGGGACCTCAGAAGTCCTCTAGTCTAACCTTTTCATTCTGAAGATGACAAAACTAAGGCCCAAAGGCAAGCAGGTAGCAAGTATTAGGGCCAAGAGTCAACCATAGATCTTTTGGTTCCAATTAGTTTTGTTCCACTGTATCAAACAGATCTGAAATCAGAGTCCTGTGTCTAAACACTGCCATTGCCATTATCATTTATTTGTGTTGCCTTGGGGCAATCACTTTACCTATCTTGGTTTACTCATTTCTAAAATGAAGGGGCTAGACTAGAAGCAATTCCAAGATCATTTCCTGGATTTAAATTTATGATCATTTTGAAGTGACAGTCTTATTATTATTTTTATTTTATTATTTATTATTATCATTATACATTATTGGGAGAAGAGGTAGAAAGGAATGGAAAGGTAAAAGAGGTAAAATTCTATGAAGGGATATAGTCCATCAACAATCCAGACTAACTCTTATTCAGAGGAAGAACTAGAAGAATGGATAGTTATAGCCTTTCAGAGCAAACTAAGATCATTGTCACCTTTTACTGTCATATAGATCCACAAAATGTGCTTTGCTCCCCTTTGCTATTTCAACTTACCCACTTTTTTGTGTAGTTTGGAGAGTTTATATGTGGAAATTTGGGACCTGAGTTATTATTTTGCCAATAACGCTAAATACCAACTTGAAAGTTCTTAAACATGCTGTGACCAATTTTGTCTCTATTGTTGTTGATAAGACTTGTTGTGGTTGGAGAGAAGTGGAAAGAAGTCATCAATAATCATTGTCATTTATAATCTATCTAGAAAAGGGTAATGGCTATGTTCAGTGTTTAGGAGGCCCAACACTAATAATAGAACAATATAGAAAATTCTTACTAAGCCATTCAAGAAATGTAAAATTTATTCCAGAAGTAAATAAGAGCTGGAGGGACACTTTAGTATTGTTCTTGTGGCCAAGTGTGTCCCATCTGAGTCTGGCAATTGATTGCCTGATGCTTCACAGAATCACAGAATATGAGAGTTAGAAGGGAGTTCAGTGATCAGAGGAATCCCCACTATGGCAAATGGTCATCCAGCTTCTGCTTGAAGGAGGAATCCAGCCTTTCTTCCAAGAAAGAAGTCTCTAGGCAATCCATGCCACATTGGACTAGCTCTAATTGTTGGGAAGTTTTTTTGGTTTTTTAATTTTTTTTCCCTTAACATCAAATTTAAGTTGGACTCTTTGCAATTCTCATCCCTTTCTCCTAGCTCTGCCTCAAACTACCTTTCTCTAAAACTAAAATAAAATTATGTTGTTCTTCCTTATAGAGTAGTTAAAATCTGTTTAATTAAGAGTTTACAGATCCTTTTCCCAATGTGGTATGCTACTTGATAATATCTCAAGGAGTGAAACCCATGAAAAAATGCCAGCAAAAGCAATGATTAAATGTATTTTTAAATCTTCACACAGGTGCCATGACATCTAATTTAAGATTACAGCAAGTAGTTTAGAGGAGAAAATAAGGTAGCTTCTTGTAACTGTTAGAGCTGAAGTTAATTTATGAGGCAGATCCTGAAAGATAGAATTTCACTGATACTCAGATTTGAAATTAGTGTCTACTAACAGAAGACTATACTCTTGCCTTGGGGGACAGTAAAGTTGGAATTCTTGGCAAAATGAGGCTTATTATACTAGCAAAATAGCTGCCTGGCAAATACCATTTTTAAGCATATTAAAGAGTTGAAAAGCATTCTTATGTAATGGATATAGCCTTGGAGTCAAGAGAACTTAAGTTCAAATACTGTCTCTAATACATATAAGCTATGTGACCATGGGCTCAGTGGCCCAGGAAACTTTCTAAGATTATAAATTGAACATGAGTTGCTGATTTGCATTAGTGGAGAGAATTTTCATCCAGAAATTTCCTACACTAATGAAATCATCAGTCTACCAAAATAAATAAATTCTTATTGCTTCTCTCTGCAGTCAACCTGTGGTCCTTTAAAAACATGTTCAACAACTTCAGTAGTGGAAGTTTTTTCAATCCAAATTTTAAAGGAGTTATAATAGAAGACAAATGGTTTCTGCAACAGAGCTCCTGTGGCTTTAAAATGTCACATATTTTCATCATTTCTTAAGAGGTTTACTAATGAGTCTCCAAATAGTCACTATTTCTGATAGATTGTATTTTAGGGAGAATGACAGACTGAGGTGGTTCTTAACATAGGATGTGGTATGTTAGGTATTTAGGGGAAAAGTTGTGTGCATTCATATCTATTCTATACATTCTATCACATTTTGGTCATCCCCCAAATCATTTATGTAACAACAATCAAGTGAGAACACAACTGCTCAATTTCATTCAACACACCCTGGTTTGCAGCAACCAAATCTAAATGGAACATTTTTATTCTTGGAGACAGGAAAAAATGTGTCATAGCCAAACTGATGAAAATACCAATCACCATCTACACTTTAATGAGCTTCAGAGTAGGATGCTAAATATTTTAAGCCATGTCATTGTTTAGATTATTTGCACTTTAGAGGAGTAGAAAAGTTGATAAACGTCTTCCCCATTATTTACTTCAGCCAAACAAGTGATTTTGAAGTTCATTCATACTGAAAGAACAAGTTAATATTTTTTCCCTGTGGAAAAACTCAAGGGTATTTTAGAAAAAGGGAGGACAAGTTACCTATACACACTATTCTCTAACTGAAAAGGGGGAAAAAAAGACTTTAGATAAGAATGGCAATTTGTTTTAACCTATAGGATTTTTATTGGGTGATTAATTTCTAATAAGCAACTCAGCACACCTGGATGTTTAATCACTGTGTCAACTGGAGAGTGGAAAGTTGCCTTCATAACTTTATGCTTCAGTTCTTCAGCATTTATTTTTATTATATTTTGAAGTTTCAGTGATTTGATTGATGCTCAAATAATTTGCCCACAAATGAAAGGGTAAGAGAGAGTGTGTGTTTCCATGTAGTTATATTTCTTAAAAGGAAAATCATTTATGGTAAAGGGGAAAAGATTATGCTAAAGCTGCAATTTCAAGATTATTGCTCTAGGAAATCATTCCAATTTAAAATAAATCTTTTTCTCCTCACTGTATGTTTTACACGAACAGAGGATTCTAAATGTACTAACTTGGACTTATTATAGCTCATTCAGTTTCATTAGTCCTTTAAGAAATTCATCTCATATAAAATATGCTCTGACCCTGTAGATAACTCCTTTATTAAAAAGCAATTTCAGTATTCATCTTTAGAAATGATTAGTTATTGGATTTTCTCACTAAGCAGGAAAGAATGCACATCATAATTTCCCAAGCTTAAAAGAATAAAAATAACATGTAGATACATATTTCTGCATTCATATATAAATAAATTGCAAATGAAATCTATTGTGAAATCTTTGTGCATGTCCATATCTATCTTGAGATAAGTAATGAGTTTTAAAAATCCACTCAATTCTCCATCATTATAATTTTTGGGGAAAAAAAGTCTATGATTCCTATACTCCAAGCTTCTCTTTAGGTATTAATTAATATCCTTGGGAGAATAATATAAGCAAAACCATTCTGAAGGGAAAAGAATATTATTGACTGTACTAGTGTTATGTGTTCCCACACATTTGTAAAAGTAAGATGAAATTTAAAAAAATAGAGATGTAAATTATTTGTAGGGAGAAGAGAAGGTCAAGAAGAACATTGTTATATTTCTTATCTATAATAATAATAAACAATAACAGTAATTAGCACTGAAATCACTTTAATATTTACAAATCAGTTTACAAATATTATGTCATTTTATCCTTACTACAACCGTTGGAGGTAGGCACTATTATTATTCCCATTTTACAGATGAGGAAACTGAAGCTGACAGAAGTTTAGTGATTTGCCCAGGAACACACAGCTAATAAGTTTTTGGGGCTGAATTTGAACTCGGGTCTTCCTGACTCCAAGTCCAGTGTTTTATCCACTTCTTCACATACCTACAGCGTAAATATTTTGAAGGCAGGGATTATGTCATAGATTTCTTTGTGGGCTCAACAATATCTGGCATACAGAAAGGCACTCAAAATTTTCTATTCCTTTGATTTCCTTTTGATTTCCCCCCAAAATCTTGAAGTCCTGATGTGGTAAGTCTTAAAATGTAACACTTAAAATCCAGGAATACATAGTTGAAGCAAAAATAGTTTAATTTCAGACGGATGAATGTTGCATATAATTGGTTTAAAAAAAACACAAAACTCCTAAACAAATTCCCACCTCTTTTAAAGAAGAGTCAAGAAGACTTTTATTTTCCTTCACAAAAATAACATGAAAGATCCCTCCTCTGGGAAGCTGAATATAACCTAAGTCCTCTGGATTGGAAGGAGAGTGATAGTAGTCACAGTATGATAGAGTGAGAATAACTGTCATATTCAGAATTTTACAAATAAGGAATTTTGGCCTCTGGTGGTAGTCAATTTCTCCTCTCTGGTCTTTCCCAGTTTATTCGAAGAAGAGATAATGTCATATGTGCCTCCACATGCCTTACTCCATCCCAGCTATTGCCAGTCCCCGCGCAGTTCCCCTGTGTCCTCACCTCAGAACTCTCCAGGTAAGCTGAAGTGATACTTGGGAAGTGAGCACTGATATTGGAAGTCCTGTCTTTACCAAGGACAAGTGAGGGAGTAATTTGGGAAGACATTGTAATGGTTATCACCTGAGTAACTTTTTGGTTATGCTGGTATTTCTTAGATCTTTAAGACTAACTTATTTCTAAAATTATTTATGATGGACAAAGAGATAGCAAGATTCTAGAGCATGAAATAAATTGCCAATAATGACATGCTCATTGGTCATTTTGTTTGGATAAACCACGTTTAGTATTTTGCTACAATTAAAATTACCTATGTAAATTTAAATTTGCTCATGTGCCATGTAAATTACCCATTATCATTTTGGGGAATCTCAAATAATCTTTTCTCATTAAGGGGGTCACGTTGATGCAAAAAAAGAAATAATTCTACTGCCAGGAAATGACCTCTAAATATTTTGACATATCCATGACTTCAATGATACAGGCACTACCTCCATTTGTACAGATTACAACCTATCTGTCCCTTCTCACGCGATGATCTTCTTGTTCATGTCCTTCTATAGATCCCTCATAGAATATCTACCTAGTCTGCTAGAGCACTTTAACGTTCTTTTGGTACCAGTACCGTACTAGTATTAGTTGTCTACTAAGGTTGTCTGTCTGTATCCTTTTCTCCTTTTACTACATGACAAGTTGACCTGTGATCACAGATTTCCTGGATGTGTTTGATACCACTTCTTATGCACAGATCGTTGTTGGTAATAAACCATAGTCATATACATGTATATGAGTACATATACCAAAAACCTGATTCTGAGATGGCTTATTTGCAAAAACTATTGATAAATAGAATATGAAAATCCATTCCCCTATCCTTCTACATTGCCATCGTTTCTAATGGTCTTTACCTTAATAACAACTTCTACTAAATCTAAATATTTGTACTTCTCCTGATGCTAAAAGTCCCAAGTTATTGAAGTGATACTAGGATGTGTTTCCCATCCCTGTTTTCCAAGACCCATTTAGAGCTGATAAGGACCTCAGGGATCATGTAAGGAGCCCCTCTTCCCCTCATTTATAGATGAAGCAAATGAAGCTGAGAAAGCATTCATTTGAATCCTGTGAATTCTTTGTCTAATGCTAGCTCAGGTTTCTCTATAATAAGTTCTTCAAAGATTGTCACATATTCAGTTTTTCATTTAGGACGACAAGTTAATTATGAGATGAGGGAGAACCTTAAGTTAACATAATTCATCTCCACAAAACAATCACAAGATCATCAGTGTTTACTCTGGATGAATTGAGGAGTAGAAATGGAAGGTCATCAAAAGTAAAGATTAAGAGGAAATAATAATGAAGAGAAACATAAGAAATCACCAAAATGCCTAGTCTTCTTATTTGCGTTTTAGAAGTTAGTTGCTTCTCATGTAGAATACTTTCATTTTAAAGTACCTAAAATCCATCAAGCATCAGTCTTGGATAAATTGTAGAAAGATCACATATGAAAAACATATTTGCATAGTTGAATTTTATGTTGGGATGAAATGTATTCAGGACTCTCAGGTTTAGGATAATATATTTTCTGAGAATATATATAACCCAGATATCATGACATTAATAGGAATATTTGGGTGTTTTTTAATTTTTAGAAAGAATGATCTCCATATTTTGGCCAAGTCTCTTTTTAGTGGGACTTCTTTGTTCTTGAAGTTGATATGTCTTGCTTGATACCGATGGAAATCATTATAACTGATTTCACATGCTAAAGGATTAGGATCAGCTAACACTGTCTGATGGCGATTCTTTTGAGACTTTTTAATAGATTAAAGTTTCCTTTTGAAATTATCCCTCATGTTTTTGAGAAAGCAATATTTTCAGCAGACCCAAAGGAGTTTGAACTCCTTTCCCTTGACTAGAATTTCACCACTTCAGGCTGCAATGAAAATAATATTGTTAAAAGTTACTACTATATAATAAAATTTAATGATCATTTAAAAAATCCCTCTAGAGGCTTAGTAATCTTTTCAAAATGCTTCTCGTCTCAAGTACATTTGCATTTCTGCAAGCAAAAATGGTGATAGGAGCTATGGAAAATTTGATTCATTCTCTTTGCAGCTGTCAGACTACTCACTTAAAATTTATCAAAATCTTGGAATGGGAGCATTTGTTTTTGTGGTATAATTCTAATGCCAGCCTCAACTACACTTATGCCAACAGGAAAAGAACTTTTAAAACTTCATATGATTTATTATTCCAAATATGAGACTCAGCAGTTTAAGAAACATTTGTAACAGCATGTTATTTTTATTACCATTTAAATAATGAGATAAGTATTCTCTTATGTGAACACCTTTCAGATAAATGAAGTTCACCCATTTAAATGTCAAAACCTTTTAATTTTTAATAATTTTTTATAAAAATCCCAGTCAGGCACAGTTCCCTGCCTTCTCAGAGTAAGATAAATATGATTTCTTGGTGACTCAGTCATTATTATAATTATTAATAACTGTACTGTGCTGAGCTTTTGTAGCTTTAACGTCTTTTACCCCTCTCTGTCAGTGGCTACTTATGTTGTTTCTCTGTGGTTTTTATTTAAAAAAATGTATAAATAGTATTCTGTAGCATAAGAAATCAAAAACCCATTTTTGTTGGAAGGGTGTTCAAAATAAATGTTGATGAGTTCTGAGCATCTCTTCTACCAAAGCAAGTCATAGATTCTGAGTTCAAAGAGACCATGATAGAGGTCATTCCTATAGTATCCCTAGCAAATGATCATCCAGCTTTTGTCAGACCACCAAAATTTACAAATCCAGCCCTCATCTCTCTCCTGAATTTCAGTCCATTATCTCCATCTGGATATCCCATAAACATCTCAAATTCTGTATGTCCAAACACAACTCACTGTCTTCCCCTCTAAATCTCCTCTTCCAAAATTTCTATTTCCTTTGAGGACACCATCATCCTCAATCACCATTCCCATCACCCAGGTTTATTACCTCAGAGTTAACCTTGACTCCTTTCTTTCCCTCACCCACCATATATAACTAGTCGCCAAGTCCTGTCAATTCAAACTTTGCAACATCTTTTTAATCTGTCCTATTTCTCCACTCACACAACCATCACCCTGAAGAGATTCTTATCACCCCTCACCTGGCCCATTAAATGGCTTCCCTGCTTAAAATCTTTTTTCTCTCCATTCCATCCTGTATACAGTTGCTACAATAATCTTCTTAAAGTACAAGTCTGACCATATCAGCCCCCAACTCAAGATACTTCTGTGGCTTCCATCAAATTGCCCTGGGATAAAATGGAAAATATTTGGTTTAGTATTTGAAGGCATTTACAGTTGGTATGCAGTCTCCCTTTCCAGAATTTCACATTATATCCCTTATACATCCATTCACCCCAAACTGGCCTGAACTCAGATTTCTATTTGTCACTTCAAGTGCCTTTTTCCAGGCTGTCTTGAATGCCTGGAATATACTCTCTCTTTATTTTTACCCCTTAGCTTCCTTAAAGGCTCATCTTAAGAAGCCTTTCTTGACCCTCTAATTATTAGTGCTTTCCTCCTCTTATATTATATTTCCTTTTTTTGTGTAAATGTTGCTTCTCCCCTGAGGGTAGGGGCTGTTTTTTGTTTTATTTTGTTTTGTCTTCCTTTCCCCAGCATCTGGCACAATGTCTTACACAAAGTAGGAATTTGAGAAATTCTTGTTCATTGGACTAAATTGAACTCTAATGCCAGAACCTTTGTGCATAGGCATTCTGATGCCAATTTCCATAGTTCAGAGATTTCTTTTGCTTATTTCCTGATTCTCACCTGTATTTTGAATGGTTGAGATTGCCCAGAGCCTAAACTCCACACAATCAGGATGTGGCCATCTTTACTGTTTTGTTCCATTATTATGTTGGCCTTCAGCTAGATTTGGTGCCAACAGGAGATGTTTAAATTGGTGAGGAGATTTCCATTTTTTAAATAAAATTATTTGGAAACAAGTGGCACCATGTGCCTTCCAAGGACTTGACCATGGAGTGACCCAGAGGAAAGAGAGTTTCCAGCAAAGCCTAGGGCAAATATCTAGTCTCAGAATCAATCCAGATAGATGCATGGAAAGTCCCAAGATGGAACAGTGCCACACACTAGGAGCCAAGTGGAGTCCTTATTTCCCTGGCATTCAAAGGTGTCTATCACATTCTTCAAATATTCCTAGGTAGATGGTCCATTGTTGGTAGCTATTGACATGAGAAAAAAGACTCTAGAGATGACTCCTAAATCTTTTTATCTGTCTCCTAAGGTCCAGCCTTGGATTACCACCTTGGATTACCAGTTGCTGGATGTCACCATCTGGTTGTCCCATTGGCATTTCAAACTGGAAAATATCTGAAATCATCTCAATTCATTATTTTCCTCCCCCCAAACCTGTCCTCCTTCCTAAACTATTTATTTCTGCGAAGTGCACTTATCATTGTTCAAGTCACAAAGATTTACAACCTCTTGACTCTTCTTTCTTCTTCACTCCGCCTATCAAATTGGTTGCCAAGTCTTATCATTTCTCCTGCCACAACATATCCCGCATCTGTTCCATCTCTCCATTCACAGAGTCACCATCCTTGTTTAGGTCCCTATCATCCATTGCTATTACAATTGCAGCTAAATGGCAGAGTGGATACAGTGTGGGACTTGGCATCAGAAATACTCAAGTTCAAATAATCTATCGGCTGTGTGACCATGGACAAGTCATTTAATCTGTCTGAGCTTCAGTTACTTAATCTGTAAAATTGGTGTAATAGTAGCACCTATAGGGGCACTGATAGGTGGTGCAGTGAATAGAGCACCCACCCTGGAGTCAGGAGGACCTGAGTTCAAATCTGGCCTCAAACACTTACTAGCTGTGTGACCTTGCGCAAGTCACTTAACCCAAGTTGCCACCAAAAAAAAATAATGATGACACCTACATCATGGCAAAGTTGTGAGGATCAAATGAGATAACACGTGTAAAATGTTTTGCAAACCTTAA